CGCGCTCGTGCTCGCTTCCCGCTCTGGAACCGGGGTTTTTTCTTTTTAGTACTCGCTGCTTTGACTCTCAAAGGCGCATCACACGGTCTTTATAGCTGCCAGCATTGCAGCTTTCCTTTTGCGTAGGAAAGAAAAGAATAACAGAAAATAACAGAGGCAAGAGGAGCAGTGTTCCCGCCGCGGGCCTAAATTTATTTTCCTCCCAGGGAAGTGTCTCGCTTCCGCTTCAATGTGGTAGCGAGGGGGCGTGTGGCTGTTGGTAGGCCGGCAGTGTTGGAGATGAGCCCAAAGTTGTGCTCTGGAAGAGAAGCGGCATGCAGTTGGTACTAGTACTCGAGTAGTATAGCAAGGACCAGGGTGAGAATTATGAAAAACGCCGGAATTCGTTCTCCCGCGCTTTGAGGCGTGAATTTTACATGAGGCGTGAATCTCTACCCTCTCGCCGCAACCGTCGCCGGCGCGCGACACGTTCTCGTCAGCAGGACTGTCCTCGTCGAGTGTGTGTCGCCAAGGCGAGACACACTCAGCTCTCAGGGACGGTGCCGACGGGACGCGGCTCGAAGGGCGTGGCTCCGCAGCGCGGCTGGCACTCGTCGCAGGCAGAGGCCTCGCTCGCCTTCGAAAAGTCGGGCATGGCTCACGCAACTTTCTCGCTAACACGCGCGCATCGCCGAGCCTGCGGCGGGCGCGCTGCGGCCGCACGTCTAACTCCGTCATAGTGCCACGACGTGCGGCCTAGAATTAGCACACGCGCTTCTGCTCGCAAACACTCACCCAATGAATTGTCATCACCCGTGAGTGCGAGGTAGGGCTAGCAGTAGGCAGCTAGCCTGTGAGGAGAGCGTCCATAGACACCTCACTAGACCCCACACACGGTCTCGTCCGTGCCTCGCCGGGCGGCGAGATTGCTAGAGGTGGAGCAAGCCTGCTCTAGTCTCACACGTTACTTCCTGTCGCCTGTTGTGTTGTTGCGCCCTTGTTTGTACTCTTGGCACCGTGTGTGCTTAGGGGGGCGACAGGGAGGACGTGGCCCTGAGTTATGTGTACGCCACCTCAGGGTGTGTGGCAGCCAGCTGGCTGTGTGTCTTGTGAGCCTGTTTGTGTCTGTGTGTGTCGCTCATGCGTGAGGTGTCGTCATCATCTGTCCCGCGTCCACCCATACCGCGTTGGTGTCCAGTCCGAGCCTGGCTGTTCTTCACCTTCCTACCTACCTACCTACTGTGATCTGTAAGGCTCCGCCCGCAGGCGCATTTTGTATACCGAGGCGGTGCCCGGTGCCGAACCTGTCGGACCTGAGACAGCATTGTAGATCCCTGGGCGAGGGTGGTGGTTTGGGCGGTCCGTCGGCGCCAAACCAAATTGGTGTACGAGGGAAGGAGCAGGACTTTGCGGAGATCTAGGAGCAGCAGGGGCCCGAGGGACTGTAGAACCGAGACGGCTAGTGCGTAGTCCCCCGCATCACGGGGAGTCCCCCGCTTAGGGTGCCGACCACACGAAAGGTCTCCGCGCAAACGGCAAAGGTCAAATATCGAAAACAAACATCGCATGGGCGGGGACTTGCGGGTTGTTGCACGAGTAAATGGGACAAAAGCGTCGAAAATGTCCCAAAAAAGCGTGTCTCGAGTTTGTGGCAGCTCCGGAGCCAGCGCGGGCTGCCAGGACGCACCGCTCGCGCGTTCGGCGCACTCCCTGGCACCCAGGGAGTGCGCCGAACCGACCAGACCGAATAGGCTCGATGCCGCGCTCGCTGTGGAGCTGCCACAAACTCGCCGCCGAGCGTGCCACCGACGGCGTCCGTCGGAGGTGGTGGAGTTTGAGACCTGAGGCTGCGGAGGTGACGCCTGAGGTACCGGGCCGTGCACGGCGACTCAGCCGGCGACCGCCACGGGCTCAGACGAGACTTGTCGACGCGTTCCGGCTCAGCTTCACCGTGGTCATCGGGCGTCTGTCGACGTCAGGACCACCCATACAGCTCGCGGGTTTGAGGTCGCAAGAGCCAAGATGGTGGCGTTTGGACATCCCAACCATCACACAAGACAGCCTGTAGCTGATGGCGGGACGGCGCAGTGTTTGTGGCACTCGGCAGTAGGCACCCGCGGCACGGCCCCGCTGTCGGCTCTCGCGGGCTGCGGAACCGGACCCAGAAAGGGACGGTCCGGGCGAGTGTGGCAGCTCCTGCGCTAGTATGGGCACCCTCTATTATAGCACTACTGATCCTGGTCATTAGAGCTGCCAGGGATAGCGTCAGGAGCTGGTAGGAGTCAAAACCCCTCATATTTGAGACACATCGTGTCCCATATACTCGTGCAACAACCCTTGCTCCCTTTTACCCATCTCCTAGCAGGCCACGTTAGTTCTAGTGCATGTGCATGTACATGTACATGTTGTGCATGCATAACGGGGGGGGGGGGGGGTCGTTCCGTTATACAACGCCGTTAAGCCGGCGCGGGGGAGGCGCCGGAGTTATTTCTTATCGATTAACTTACAGTGCGTGCTCTTGCCTTAGAAATCGGTGTTTAGAAATTGGCTGCTGGAAATTTGGCTGATTTCCCTGGCCGAAATAGAAATCGGCTGCTGGCACGAGGCCGGCCCGATTTCTCTGATCTGCCGCGCCGCAGGCGCGAAGAAAATTTTAGAAATCATACGACTTTTTAGAGAGAGGTCGTTCTTTCACTTTCTTCTCAGTCTACAGTCATGGTGAAACGCAATTTTCACCCTCTCTATAGTGTGAACAGTGTGAGTCTTGGGCCCGGGGTTGTGTCTTTGCGTGAACAGTGACGCAACACGTCAAGTCCCTCATGCTCAGCTCTCTGGCGCCGGCTCCAGCAGGAGCCACCACTCGCTCGCGCCATAGTTGTCGGCGGCTAGCTTGCACGCGACACGGCCCGCGAGGTGCTTGGTGCCCGTCTCTTTCTGGGAGTACATGACGATGTGCGTCGCGTCAGGCTGACGCCACGAGGAGCCCACGCCGAAGTGCTGCACGGTGCCAACGTACCAGCCGGTGGCGCCGTCGAGGAGGTGCGCGGCGAGGATCTTGCGCCGGCACAGCGCGCGCTGCTCGTCGTCGTTCGCCAGCGGCGGGCACGTCGCCGCATAGACGTAGCCCTTCGGGGGCATTGCCGGAGCCTCGCCGCATGCCTGCATGCGCACGGCGGTGTCGTCCTCGTCCTCGTCCTCTGAGTCCTCCATGCCGTCCTCCGCCTCCTCCTCGCCCTCCTCCTCGCCCTCCTCCTCGCCCGCCGCCTCGTCGACATCGGCGAGCTCCGCCTCGTCCTCGTCCGCCTCGCTCTCCCCGCCGTCCGATCCGCCGTCCTCGTCCTTGAAGGTGTAGTCCGTCACCCCCTGCACGCAGATGTGCTCGTCGCCGGAGCCGTCGACAGTCATGAGCAGGCCGAGGCTGCGCGCCGACTTCTCGAAGTCATACGTGGCGCAGAGCGTCTCCCACGCTCGGCCCGCGATCTGCGTGATGAGCGAACGCTTCTGCCACGCCTTGAGGCCACCCTCCTTGGGGCCCTTGGTCCAGCGCTCGAGGTGGCCCGGCTGCTCGAGCCACGTGTCCATCTCGTCGCCCATCAGGTTCTTGAGGCGGACGCCGATGCCGCCGTCGATGAGCATCAGCTCGCCCGTCGAGCCAGTCGGCAGCAGGTGGCGGTCGCAGTGGGCGCGGCGCTGCAGGTTGCGCAGGTGCTCGGGCGTCGTCTGGCCGGAGAGGTTGTCGAAGATGGCGACGCTCCGCTCGCCCGCGGCGCGTGCGGCCGCCGTCGCCTCGCGCATCTCCACGTCCGCGAAGTCCTCGCAGAGCTGGTCGTCAGCCCACGCCTTCGGCTGGAAGCGCACCTGCACGTCGGAGTGGCGCGCATCTCGCTCATTCTGCGAGATCTGCTTGCCCTGGCCGCGAAAGATCACGCACAGCTTGGGCTGCCCGTGCCGCGGCATCGAGGCGTCGCCGTTGCTCGCGCGCGCGACGATCTGCAGCGTGCAGAAGCGCTTGCCGTCGTCAGCCTTCGCCCCCGCCAGCCAGACGCGCTTGGCGCCCGTGTCGTCGTAGGTGCGCCCATCGCCCGCTCGGAGGTTGCACGGCACCTGGTCGACGCTCAGCCGGTTGCGCGGCAACCAGCGTCCCCACTTTGGGTCGAGCTTCTCCTGCAGGCCGCCACGGAGGCGGCGACGGAGGCGCGCGTGCCAGCGCTTGATCTTCGGCAGCCGCACGAGGACGGACTCGGCGCGGCTGTTCGACTTGCGCCGGAGCGACATGCCGAAGCGCCGCGCGAACGACCGCAGCCACCACTTGGACGCCTTGAAGCCGTCGGCCACGTCGGCGCCGGCGAACTCGCGCACGAGGCGCTTCATGGAGACGCGAAGCCATTGGCCGGTCACGCGCTCGCCACGCGTCCGCTTGTCGCGGTAGCGCTTGTGCAGCTCCACCTCGACCGCAGCGAAAGGCGGCGCGCGGCCGCGATGGAGGGTCGTCCGCCGTGCGCCGCGCGACTGGAACGTCGCCATCGTGCCGGTGCGGTGCTTCTGCTTACGGCTGACGCGGTTCTCGTGCTGCAGCGCCATGTGCAGCTCGTCCTCCTTGCCGCCCCACTTGGACACGAGGGAGGGGTGTACGCCCTTGTGAATCTCCGACGTCTCGATGCCGGCGCCACGCCAGCCACTCGGCGCCTTCTCCCAGCGCTTCTCGAGGCTCTGCAACCTGCGCAGCGTGCGCACCACCTCGAGCTTAAAGTAGAGCGAGTGTTTCATGCCCTTCTTCTCGCCCTGGCGGAGCCCACTCTGCTTGATGCCGCCATCCGCGCGCAGCTTTGGTGCTTTCGCGGGTGGCTGCTCGTCGTCGCTGCTGTTAGCGGCTTCGGCGGCAGCCTCGGTGACGGCGGTGGCGGGCTGGGTGGTGGTGGCAGCGGAGGCGGCAGCCTCTGCGGCGGCGGCGACTTCGGCGGCCGTCTCGGCCGCGCGACCGCTGCAGAACTTTTCGTGCGCAACGCGCGCAGGCCCGTGCAAGAATGTCTGCCCACAGCCCTTGGCGCACGACGTGAACTTCTCGGGCGCCTTGCCCACAGCCTGCAGCTGCTCGGGCGTGAGCGAGGTAACGGATCTGATCTGACGGCCTATGCCCGGCAGCGTCGCGTACGTAGTCCTGGTGCCACCAGCAAAGAACGCGCCGATCGACTTCTGCTGCAGCGTGCTATGCTTGCCGCCGCCGGCCTTCGCCTTCACCGTCCTCGGGGTGACAGCAGCGGCGGCGCTGCTCGAGGAGGAGGTTGCAGCTGTCGCGTCCATCGCGCCGCCGATGTTCTGAGGCTCTGATAGGCTGCCCGAGTCGACATGCGTCGCCAGCGCGGCGACCAGAGCTGGCGGTGCTGCTTCCTCCTCCTTCAGCTTGTGTGCGACGGTGTCGGTGAACGACGAGAGGAGTGACCGCAGTGCGGACGAGTCGTACGCCCCGAGCTCCTCGAGGACCGACACGACCTTTGCGGCGTTGCAGCGCTCGCGAAGGCTCGGGTGTGCAGCCAGCAGCACAGTGTTGACCAGCGCCTCCATGGGTGCTGCTCGCGTAGTGTCACGTGTCAGGATGAATGCAAAAAGGGTGCAAATCCTGCACACTGCACACATCGACTACATCCACAGCAAGTCGCCATGCCGCCCTCGGGAGAGTGCCCTCAGCCACGCGTCCGCAAGGTGTACGTCCGCGCGCACAAGCGCAAGGTCGCCGCCACGAAGAACCCCCTCGACGAGCCGGTCGTGCCGCCGCTGACGCGCCGCCAAGCCCGAGACCTCCCGGCCCACATGGTGACCAAGTACAAGGAGGATGCGCTCAAGCGCCTGATGGCCCTCTCGCCAGCGAGCGAGCATGGGACACTTCACAAATTCTTCTCGCGCATGCCGAAGCCGAGCCCGGCTCCCGTCAACGGCGTAGTTGCCGCTGCGTCGTCCTCGACCGCTCCGGTCAACGCCGGCGGCAAGAAACGGGCGCGTGTTACCGCGCCGCCCGTCACGCCGGAGGGACTGACGCCGTCGCGCCGCAACGGCGTGAATGCGGCGATCCTCTGCTTTTCGCCCTTTGCCTAGGCGGGCCGGCTCGTCGCGCAGGCTGTGTCTGCTGAGGCTGTGCCCACACGACCCGACCCCGCTCCCGGCTGTTTATTTTGTGCGAGACTGTTAGCGCGGCGAGTGGGGGAGGGGGGCTGTGTCGGCCTAGCCGGGTGTCATTTGACAATTACAGATTTCATACACCCTCAAAACATGGCACCAACCAGAAAAGAGATCGACAATCGGCCTCGCCCGTCACTCGCGCGTCACTCTCTGCGCTCACGGCTGCAGCAGAAGCTGCTCGAGCTCGGCGCGCACCCACGCGCACGTCGCTCGCTCGCTAGGCAGGGCGTGCGTACACGCGCTGACCACACCTGCAAGCCGGCTTTCATCGGGCACACACGGGCGGGTGAAGCCGTTCGCGACGATTGCGTCGAGCTCGTGTCGGAGGCGCGAGTCGCACTTGCCTGGCGCGTCGCCCGTGGCGAAGTGGTACGGGTCGCAGACGCCCGACGGCGCCTCGAGCGCAGCCAGGACACACCCTAGCGACCAGGCGTCGGTGCCACGCGAAAGCGGCACGACTGCAAAGTCGCGGGCCACCCGCACCTGCTCGGGCGCCCGCCAACCCGGCGTGCCTGAGTGCGAGAGCTGCGCCCCAACGGCTAGTCGCCTCGCTGCCCAAAGTCACACAGCTTAGCGACAAGCCCCTCAGAGCGCGCCGACAGCAGCACGTTCGATGGCTTGAGGTCAAGGTGCACGATGGGGGGAGATCGCGTGTGCAGGTACGACATTGCTCTTGCAATCTGCACGCCGAGGGAGCGGCTCTCGCCCCTCTGATCCCCGATCAACAAATCTCCCAGAGTCCCTGCGTCGGCATAGTCGAGAGCGAGGAACGGCGTCTCGCGCGGGGCGCATGCAAAGCCCATCACATAGATGATGTTCTCATGGTGTAGTGCTGCCGCGATCTGACACTCGGAGGCGAAGGCGCTGCTCGCGCGCAGCGGCTGCTTCACCGCGAGACGACCACCGTAGTGGCGGCCAAGCCTAACGGTGCCTTGGCCGCCCTTGCCGAGGCGACCCTGGCTGCTGCCAAAGGCGATGTCGCGCAGGGCGAGGCCGCCGTACCGGCTCGCGGTCGGCGCCAAAGGCGGGATCGGAGCGACGAGGCGAGGAGCAATTGTAGGTGGAAGAGCGGCGAGGGGCGGCGGAAGTGCCAAGCTCGGCTGCCTCGCGACGAGCAGGTGGCCCCTGCCGTGCTGGCCGAGGGCCCGTGGCCGAGGGACGGTAGACGGAATCGGGACGGGAACGAGAGCCGCAGGAGCAGCGTTAGGCACCGCGAGGGCGGCGGCCTCCGCTCTCGTTTTCTTGAGTCTGCGTCTGTACTCGACCTTCTCGGCCCTGCGGTCACGGCCCCGATCGCCCCTATCATCCGGATTGGCGCGTCTATACACGGCCTCAGCGCGTGCCTGCGCCGCGGATCGCTCCCTTTTCGGCATGTCGTTGCATGTCCAGAACCCAGTGTCGAGAGCGAAGGCGCGAGTGGTGACACGCCCGCAACCTTTGAGCACACCTGCGTCCCCCACCAGACATAAATCGTCCCCCACCAGACATCGAAGTCAAATGTCAAAGACACCTCTAGGGACTGGCAAAGTGGGCTGCCACACTCACAAAGATGCAGAAAAAGGGGACACCGGCGTGACGTGGCCTCTCGACGGGTTTGTTGAAGCAGAACTTGGTTCGGCGCACGAGGCACGAGCGAGCACGCACACACGAAATAAAGGTTAAGCGGGAGGATTGAATTCGTATCTCAGGGCAACCTTTTAGTGTACTAGTATCTAGACCGTATAGTGACCGGCGCGCAGCGCCGAAGAAAATTTTGGCAGAAATCGCTTACAGAAATCGGCTGCTGGCTCGCCCGATTTCCCTCGCCGAAACAGAAATCGGCTGCTGGATGCCGACGCCCCGATTTCTATCGCCACGCCTCGCACTGTATCCTTTTATTTTTCGATTTCTATATACTCTAGCGCCCAGCCCTCAAATCAAAACATTGCTATACACCCAGCGTGGACTCACACGTGTGTCTCACGAATTCATCCCACGAATACTCGCGAGGGAGAAGCCAGCAGGCAAGCTGTGAGCCGACCCGCGCCACACCGATCGACACCGAGCACAGCACGGCGCAGCGGCGGGCCGGCGGCCTGTCCCGGTCGAGAGAGGGCAGGGGCAGGGGATGCACCTGTTGCGCTTTGTGCACCCTCCCTGCCGCTCAATCGCGCA